AAGCAGTGGTATCAACGCAGAGTACTCATGGGCTGGTCAAAGACCAAAACAGTGGAGTAGGTTACTGATGACTGGCCAGATGTTTCTGGAGTTGTAGATACAGTGGAGATGTCCATAGACAGGGGCTCTAAGGAGCCTTCTACTGTTGAGAGATTGGTGTTTTTGCCTTCTCCATCTACAGAACAGTGGAGAAGGGATTCTTTCTCTTGGTCTTTGTCCACGGCGAAGACACTTGGTTTAACAACGATCTTCGCTTCACAGACACTTTCAGACACCAGCAGGAGTGGGCAAGCAGTGAGGCCTTCTCGATGCCCAAACAGGTTGTCTGTGCCCTCCATCTAAAAGGAAAATATAGAAAATCTCTTATCAGCATAGATAACAAATGTCATAAGGTCACAACCTCCCCAGTGCTTAGGCTCAACATGTTTCCTTAATATCTGATGATACATATTGATCATGTTATGAGTACTACAGAAAATGTAATCCTTAAATGGTCCATTAAATGTGTTTGCATTCTGGCACAAACCCAACTTTACAGCACACAGCCTAGGTATTTGAGATCATTCCTTAAGCTTAATGTTTGTGGAAAACCTTGGTTCAAGGACAGAATTTAATCCTGAGAACACTTTAGAAGGATGTATACAAGTCGAGCTGCTGCATTCTTGATCAGTTTCTGTGGCCTGATGGCTTGTATAGGAAAACCAGCCAGGAATGTGTTGTAGTGGTCAAGTCTTGAGATGACAAAACATTTTACAAGAGCCTGGTTGCCCTCCATAGACGGAAATGATCAAATTCTTCCCTCCCTCAAATTTTCTGTATCATAAACCTTTGAAAAATGTTTTTTGGAAAAATGTAAACTGTACTAGAAATATTTTAAAGAACCCACTGAAAGACTAATATAGCCATTACAATCATGGGTCCATGATGAGTATCAACCTTATAAAGGCAACTGTACATGTAATATACACAACATAAAAACTATTAATGGAATGATACTCTGTCTGTTGTAAATATAGTATCAGAAACAATGTTTAAAAATTTAACTACATATTCAAGACCATCACATTTCCCTCTCAATAACAATGCACTGACCGTTTTAAAATTCATCCCTTTAGCCCAGGAGCAGTTGTTTGGATTCGGGACATCTTTCCACATCAGTCTCTTTATTCTGAAAAGGAAAGAGACATTTGTAAATCTTACATGATAAAAATAAATGAAAGCTCAATTTTCACATCAATCACAATAATTACATTACTGACTCACCATACAATAGAAGGACATACAATGGCTTTAATGTCGCCTATTCCGTTTATTAAGCAAGAAAAGCCCATTGACATTAATGAGTTAGTATGTCCGTATGAATTTTTTAAAATTTTTATATTCTGATTATTTTATTGCTCTACTCCTATTAAATCAATTTAATCTCAGGAAATACAGAGTGCAGAGAAAATTTCCTAAAGAGCCAGGTGGATTCACTCTGCAGCTTCAACCTGAGAAACTAATTGTGCTTTCCGTGCTCTTGGTCGAACACAGTAACATGAATTATGTAAATCAAGCAGTGGTATCAACGCAGAGTACTCAAACAAGCCAGTCTGGAGAAGCAGAATCACACATGGAGAAAAAAAATACATTTATTTGACGGATATACAATAGCAGAGTCTGCATTCATTTCTCTTTTCATTAATGGACAAATTCTCTCTCAAATCCAGTGTGTATTAGTGGGCTTTGTGTGACTCAGTAAACAGGATGATGGTAATTTGTAATTCTACATTAGACCAGGTGATGGATGCATTGATGCATTTGCAAATTATGGGTAGTTTTCACAACAGGCTTGACTTAGAGCATAGAGCTCAGTAGCCTGCATGCTCTCTCTATCTTGCCCTGTTCTCGTGATCATTTCCTCTGCTGGTCAGTGAACCCTCTGTTGGTTTTAATATTTCACTCTATCAGTCAATAAACGTGTGTGGACAGAATCAATAACAATTATCTAATGACTCCTCATACCGTCAACCATTGCCACTAAATCAGTTTTTTGACTGATAACCCTGTTCATGTAATGTTTATGTTCATGTTAATGTCAATACTAAAAGCAATCTAATGCTCACACTCAAGCTGAGCTTCACATATGACAATAATAACTGACAGAATACAGTAATGAAATCCCAAGGCACTTCATTTCATCCATTTACACAGATAGTTGGTTTTAAGTGTTTGTCAACACAATATAATGTGTGTATATCACACTACCTGTTTTGGTTAAATACATGTTTAAAAAAAAAAAAAAGCTCTCTTACTGGTTTTGTGAGATTATTAACGTGACAAACAGCACGACAGAGAGGAAGGCAATAATCATGAGGAGCATGTAGGCTGCAGGGTCACTCCGAGCAGCTGCAAAAAACAAACAAAGCCCAGGTTAAGGAGTTCAGTGTGTTCAAATTTCCACACACACTTTTAAGCAGAGGTGTACAATACTGTAAAAAAAACAGACATTGCATTTCATTACATACAGCTCTGGAATAAATTAAGAGACCACTTCAGTTTCTGAATCAGTTTCTCTGATTTTGCTATTTATAGGTATATGTTTGAGTAAAATGAACATTGTCTTATTCTATAAACTACGGACATCATTTCTGCCAAATTCCAAATAAAACTATTGTCATTTAGAGCATTTGTGTAAAATCAAAGAAACTCCAAATGTTTAAGTGGTCTCTTTTTTTTCCCCCCCAGAGCTGTATATTGCAACTTTATATATATTATTTTTATAAACTTTCTCTAGAAGTCCAACATATCATGATATTAAAGAAGACTGTAGTTAAATAAAGTAGATTGGAAAGATATAATATACCTTACTATGGAAGATAATGAAAAATTAAAACATCAGGCAGCAAAAAAGTACCACATACTTAAAACTGCCTTAGGTGACATTGCATGTCTCGCAATGAGACTAATGCATGTGCATGCCCACACAGAGATGACTATACTAAAATTAAATATTGTGCAGCCCCACTTTTAAGCTATCAATCAATCATTGGTCGTGTTGCAGAACAAAACAGTGTTTTTAATCAGATATGTTAAATCTACAACATTCTCTAAAATATAAATCATGAATTATTTAATATCAAATTAAATATTGTTGTTTTTTTTAACTATTGAGGTACACTAAAAGAAGTTTAAAGGAATATTTATCACAAAATCTTAAGGTGTGTGCAAATATTAAAATATTCATATTATAATACTTACCACTGCACCTTACTGGCTCTCCCTCACCATCCACAAACACAGGGTACAGTCTGAACACCTCTGTACCATAGAAATGCCCTGTATAAAACATGATTCACACATTCAGACATTATTTAAATTGGTAAAATATTTTATGCTATCCAGTGTATGCAATACTGGCCTTTGAGTCTAGTTTAAACCAAGAGAGCCAAGTCATGTTTTTATTGTATTGTAAATAGGTCTGGGGTTAAGAAAAATGATATATAGTACAATATGATAAGGTGAAAACCTTAATAAGGTATAATGTAAAATTATTTTTATTTGTAAAACCAAAAACACAACATGATGCATATGTAAATATCTGTACCTAAATGATATAAAAATATTGTGATAAACATACATAAATTGCAATGGAATATGATGACCTTGTGAAGCAGGTGCTACAAGAAATATATATATATATTATCTTATATAAGACAGTTTTACATATATTAATATTTATGGCATACTAGTGCATCTTAAAAAATTGAATATCAATGAAAAGTTACTTTATTTATTTATTATATACACATACATATTATATACTCATATATTATATATACTCATATATTGTTACACACAAAGTGATCTATTTAAAGCCTTTTTGTTTTGTTTATGATTATGGCTTACAACCAATGAAAACACAAAAATCAGTGTCTCAGAAAATTTAAATATTATATAAGACCAATAGATACTGTTGGCAGTGTGGGCAGTGTGCCAAATCCTGCTGGAAAATGAAATCTGCATCTCCATAAAAGTTGTCAGCAGAGGGAAGCATGAAGTGCTGTAAGATTTTCCGGGAGAACGCTGCACTTTGGACTTGATATAACACAGTGGACCAACACCACCAGATGACATGGCTTTCCAAACCATTACTAACTGGAAACTTCACACTATTTTGAACTGAAATGATATTTTCTAATTTCTTCAGGTGCACTAGTAATTCCTAGCTTTATCGTACATAGACGTTTTCTATATTTTATGACTTGGTCACAGATTACTAGAGCTGGACACCACTGGTAATAATGGTTAAAATAAGAAGAGAACAAAGACATATGATGAACATACGGCAAATGTGAACATCCCTACTGGTGGATGGGACTCTGAGCCACTCAACTCTCCCAGTGCCTTGTTCAGAGTCTCCATTCAGCTCGAGCCACTCAATGACGAAAGAAGCAGGTGGAGGCTGGTCAGACAGTAAGGTCCAGGACAGAGACACACAGGTAGCATTGGCTGCAGCACGGAACGAACGCACACATCGTCCTAAAGATGGGAAAAAGCATTGTGAGCAATTTATTTACAGCACAGACCTTGCAATAATCACCTGACACAAACACTCAAGACATGGGTCTGTTACCATAACAACCGGGATTGAACTATTGGAGCATCCTATTCTTTGATACTGTGAAAGTGCATTTAGCGGGGCTATGTCTAATAACTGCAACAAAAGCCCATTACTCTGTTCCATGAGCTAATAGACCAGCCTCTGTATCAAAACAACCAACAGCTTCCATCAAAACAATTATCCACTAATTAACAATAGGTACTGAGGGACCTAAAAATAAAATAGAGAACCAGAGCAACAGAACACAGCGAGAAGCTGCAGTACCAGCAACACAGCTAGACACTAATACACTGACAGTGTGTTTAAAAAATTGTGATATGAATTACAGAAGGTAATTTACTCTGCAGTTCATTATGTTACTACATCCACCCTTATCAGCGATATTAGTGTAATGTTACACCAGGAATGCTATGTGCATGTTCACTCACGTTTAGGCTGACGCACCAGAGTCATGTTGCTATTCTTGACTGAGGAGCCCAAAGAATTATAAGACATGACTGTAATGGTATGGACTTCCTCTTTCCACTGAAATGTGTAAAATGAGCCAAGAGTCATATCATCTGACCACAGGATACCCCCTGAGGCCTGATGCTCAACAACAAGACCCTGCACACAGATGGATGGACCCTCTGCTGGGATTGGCTGGAAGACAAGAGGAAAAAAGAGGAAAATATTTTAGCTATGAATGAAAGAAGAAAGAAGAAGAGATTGAGGCTAGTCATGTTCAGCTGGGTTTGAAAAAAGGTTATCAATAGATTTCAGATATCTTCAAAGGCTGGCATATGCTTCTTTTGGTGAGCGTGAATTTTTCTATTAAGATGTATTCTAAAATGAGGTTAATCCAGAGAGTGGTGACATGAATTCCTTGATTTCCAGCCCTGGATAACTATTTTCTTAGTGATAGCTGGAGAAATCAGCAAGAATTCTGCAACTCAGAATGATGGAGAGTGTGTCGGTGACTGTGGTATAAAAAAATATACACCTATATATTCGTATGTACATTCGTATGTAAGAGCAACTGTTGATCATAGGCTAATGTGGATAAGAAGCAAAGAAAGCATAGTGCAAAACTAAAAAACACTATAAAACATCAACTTTATTTGGTGTTAGAGGAAAATTTGGCAAACTTTAAGGCAAAAGATTATTTCCATGATAATGTTTCCATTTATGTTATGCAGTGAGGATCATGAGATTAAATGACCTTAATTCTAAAATAAGAACCCAAGGCTAAATTACCTTGAAAAGCAGAGTTACATTAGAGTGATTCTTTTCAGTGTCCTCTTGTATAACTCGCCAGAAATCAGGCCCCCTCCCAGGTGCTGAAATGACATGGCATTACATTAACTTTCATAACAGAACTACAGATCAGATTAACAGTGGTATGAAAAAGTTTGGGCACCCCTTATAATTTTCATGATTTTTCTTTATAAGTCATTGGTTGTTAAGATCAGCAATTTCAGTTAAATACATCATATAGCAGATGAACACAGTGATATTTGAGAAGTAAAATTAAGTTTATCGGATTTACAGAAAGTGTACAATAATTATTTAAGCAAAATTGGGCAGGTGCATAAATGTGGGCACCCCAACAAAAAAAGGCTCCCATGTTTCCAGTCTTCAGAGAAGATGCAAAGAAAACAAAAACTTGCAATCGGCCACATTAACCCTTTCTTATAATTGGATTCACCTGTGTATGTAGGTCAAGGGTCAATGAGCTTACCAAACTATTTTTGTGTTTTAGTTTTGTTTAAATAATTATTGCACACTTTCTGTAAATCCTATAAACTTCATTTCACTCCTCAAATATTTTTTTCTACAAAATCACTGCAGCAACAAAACATCATACAGTACGTTCCCTAAGAAACAAGTTAATTTATATGGGAAATTTACCTTCAGTACTGTAAACTGTAGACATATGAGGCTTGCTCCAGTCACTCCAGTAGCCTGAGCCATGCAATCTCTTGCAGCGCACTTGAACCTCGTACTGAACGCATGGATCCTCTACCAGAACTTCGACCGATGTGTCAATTAAAGGCCCGACAACCTGAAAAAAGAAATCTTAATTATCTATTATAATCTGTAATTGTAATAAAAAACTGCAGACCAAACACTGAAACATTAAATAAAAGACTTCAAAGCATTCCCTTACTTAAAGATAAAGAACCACATCAACTGTTTACGTAACTGTTTAGTAAATCACAAAGAAAATCTTGGGTGAATTTTTAATCTGAGCAAAAAGAACCTCATTCCAGCTTCTATCAAGACAATCAGCATTTGCACTCAGCTGAGGCTTCAGGTTTTGAGAAGGTTCTCCCTACCTTCCACTGCAAATCTGCCATTCCGCGTGAAGGAACATAGCGCAGTTCATATTGCAACTCATATGCAGGCAAGTGTGGACGCCGCCAACTCGCACTCAGGGTTTGGTTGGGAAACGTGTCTCCTTCCAGGTCAGAGGGTGGAGACGGTCTCACTGAAGGAAAGAGTGAGGATTTTTAGATTAACAAAGTATAAAAGAATGATGTAATTGAAGATTTTCTCATTGAGATGCTAATGGAATTCTGTATAAAATATATATGTAGATCTATATTTATATTAAATACGTACTTTCTATTTTATCCTACTTTTTCCCCAGTTTGGAAGGCCATATCCCAATCCCCATTTGTATAATCTCCCCCTATCTCCCTAGCAGTGATAAGGGAAGTAAACGCCATCTATCTATCAGAGAAAGAGGAGTGCACATTTTGCTATCTCTCAGATTCTGGCTGCTGATAACAAGCAGCATGATCCAGACACATACTCACCATAATCCACAGGAGCAACAAAGATGGGACGTGACCTCACTTTGCCATGTCCTCCTTCCACCACTAGCCATAGCTTGTAACAGGAGAACAGGCTCAAGCCTTGCAAGGTGCATTCACGAAAGTCTCCTACTCCATCTGGGCACTCCTTCACCCCAACCATTGAATCCTCCTGCACTGCAGTCATCACACCTTCATCAGGAGGTATCACCTCACACATTCCATTATATGTTCTAAAAGAAATAACACATTAATACAAAGAACACTAGAATTAGTCATTTGTCCAATGATAATCACCAGAGAAATAATCTGAAAATTGAATGAATATGCATACTTGTATAGAAATCTGACCACTGCCCATGCACTCTTATTCCATTTGCAGGTCATGGAATCAGTTCTTGACCTCTGATCAGTCTGACAGGTTATATTTGCATCAAAAAGTCCTGAAAGTAAGCAGAGAAAAACAACATTTTGCATTTCCATAGTCATAAAAAAATAAGCATTGGGATGTATGAAAGGTCACACTTCTGTTCACTTTCATCAGATGCCTGCACCATTTATGATAGTACTTACTTAAAATATCACAATATCATGTGGTGTAACCTATAATAGCAGTGACTGTAATAAATAATAAAAAAAAGAAATCTAATTTACGTAGCTAATAGAATCTACTTAAGATTATGGTATTTTAAAATCTTCTGTGAGTACTGTTAAGAAGGTAAATGTAACAAGACTAAATGTTTTTTGTTTTTTTAATTGGCCTGTTGAAAATTCTTATATATGTCACTTATCCAACAAACAAAAAGCAAATTATGGTGATATCAAGATATCATGATGAGCCAACTTAGTAATCTGTAAAGAATGTGCCAAAAAGTCTCTCACCTTCTGTGTAAACCTTGGCATAAGCAATGTTGCATTTATATCTCTCCCCCCATGGGTGGCAGCACAGCAGAGTATCAAACCCAGGCTCCTTTGACCTAATGGTGACCGCACTGACCCGCTCATTGACCACTCTATACTGGCTTTCTGGGATCACCTGGCCATTCAGCATCCACACAGCCCTTCTGGCAGACCAGCTGTGGTTGTGAAATACACCGTATACAGTCACTTCTGCATCTGGTCGGGTGAAGACTTCAGCAGGGATGTAGCTCACTGTTGAGGAGCAGAAACAGAAAAAGAATGAGAGAGTTGTTTACTACACTGCATTTTACCAAATAACTTTACAATTCTGGGTAGATTTTTAGCATAGGAACCTGTTGTTTAGAGATACTGGATGTGTAATGTAGGAATAACTCATAGACTGTATATAGCTGGACAGAGCATTGTCTCTTTAAAGTGAAGCCACCACAGGTCGGGCGCCCCCTGCTGTTCGGCTGCAGAAAGCTGTGTAACTCCACCCATCCCCATAGGTTTCAATGGCAAAACAGACAACTTTCAATCACGTTTTTTTCTAATATACTGTAATTCTACCTCCATTATTTAAATGCAACAGCTAGTGTAACCTCTGCTTATATTGTCAAATTTTTATATCCCCACAGAATTCGGTTTTTAAAACTTTATTCGTCTCTATTCAAAAAAGGTGTGGTTATGGTAAAAGGGCTGCTTATGGGCGGGACCAATAACAGACCGTCAGCTCCGCTCCGCCCTGCTCTGCAGTCTGTGACCGCGAGGCAGCCCTCAGGGGCGGGGTTATTTAAATGAGTAGGCGTCTCTCCACAGCCTTTCTCCCTCCTCTGGTCTCTACTGCGCAGACTCTGGTCTCTGAATCGCCAAAATGGCGGAAGATTTTGGCTTCATTTTCATTGAATGAATGGGAACGGCGACACAGCGTCCATCTTTTATATACAGTCTATGGAATAACTAATTAAAACTCTCCATACACCATATGAACAAAAGTGCAGAGACACTTGTTAATTCATCCTTTCTTCTGAATTTAAGAGTACTAAAAAGAGTTTATTCTGCTTTTGCTTGATTTTGATGTAAGAATTGAGGTTTTCATTGCATAGTTTAAGAGCATTTAATTCATGGTGCCAATAGGGTATAAGTTTATCTGCTCCAGACAGTCCTATTATATTGACAACAGTTATTTACCAGGACTAGACAAATTGTATAGGTGCATTTGCACTTTTGATAAAGCAATAGGTGTAAGTAATTATTATAATTACACATTATTAGCTGAATGCATTCATAAAATAAGTCTCATAAACATTTGGACAGCAAGTGCATGTCTTTGAAGTTCCTGCTACAGCTATAGAGTTTTTGGTCGAATTTTGTTTCTCAGATATTTTGTTATTTTCCTGCATAACTGCTGTTGTATCTACCAACTCTTTTCAATTAGAAGGTTATTTAGTTCTCTCATTTTATGTATTAAAACAGTTTCTATGCTTATTGAACATCTCCAATTCCCAGAAAATGACGCTGTGCAAAACTGAAATAAAAAATGTACCTCATAGACCAAAAGCTGATTCATAATCGAACATAGATCAGATGTTGAAAATGCAACATTTTAGCATTTCACCTCATTTATATATTGGGACAGGGGCAAAAAGGAGAGAGGCTAGAAAAGTAAGTTGTACTAATACAAAAACATATGCAAAATAAGAAGAGGTTTAACAAACCAATTAAACATTTAAAAAATGATAACACTGAAATATACCAGTGTCTACAGTAAATAATGTTATCATAAGACTTTCTGTGCAGACTCCCCATCATAAGAAATCCCTGTGCACAAGGAAATAGACCAACCACAAAACTGGATGCTGCAGATCTTCTTACCCTCAAGTAGCATTTAATTAAAATCGGGAATGATCCTGTCTGTGAACAAAGTTCACTGTGAAATTCATAAATGCAGGTTAAAGCTAAAGAAGCTAGATCAACATCATCCAAAACCCCCATCATCTTTATCTGAGCCAAATGCATTGCTCTTTTCAGCGTTCTGATTGTACCGCAGCAAAGACGACACAATTGGCATCTAGTCATTACTTAGCTTTCTAATCAATTAAATGTCGATGTTGACCAAAGTTACAGGGAGAAAGTAACTTTCCCATAGCCAGTGTGTTTAGAAAAACACACCAAAAACATCAATGAAAGTAGGTAAAGGGGGTAAGAATGATGAATGAGAAAGCTTAATAAGGCGCACAAACCAGGCTGCATTTTCAGTCTGGAGCAAGCTCCTATTTAGGCTGCTTAGTTAGTTTTCTCTCAAGCCTCCTGGCAGCATCTGTGTGCAGTGGTCCTTATCTTCCCTCATCTTCCTCTGAGTACACAAACTAATTCTCCGTTCAGGTTGCCATGGTAAATAAACCCAACAAATGTTGGACAAAAGAGATGTAATCCTACCTCCAACAGAAAAAAGCTAAACAGAGAACAGAGGAACCATTCAGATTGACAGTTTAGTGTATAGGTGTAACTTTTACACTACAGGTTAGGCCTGTAATTATAAATATTTTTATTGTGTGATAAACTGAAAAAAAAAACAAAAAAACAATACTATTGTCATTTTAGGACAATTTTAGATAATTTGTCAATGGTATTATAACAGCAGAGACACATTTTGCTTTCCACTTACAGCTCAGAGTGATGTCTCTTCGAAATGATGGACTCTCGTTTATCAGGTTAATCAATGCCTATGCCCAATAAGTCTGTATGATAAATTGTACTTTTAATCGCTATTGCATTATGAGTTTAAAACTATAAACACATCAAAAGTTGCAATATTGCATTCGATAACAGCAAGCTCAAATTGCATTACCTGTGTAAAGCAATAGAGGGAGTTCTTCAGGCTGCAGACTGTACTTATGTGCTCATGTGACATTACTAAGCTGGAGGAGGAGCAAGGTTGAGTAAGGTACGGCTTTTCAGCTTTTTGGATAAGATCGAGTGTATTTGAGTAAGATACAGAAAGACAAAGCAAGGTAGATGTCCACAGTGAATGCACCCACCCACCAAACTACTTCTTAGCCTGGAAAAAATAAGTGCAGCCAAGCCAAGTTTTTTGGCCCATATATATTTTGCACCCCTAATAGCCAATATCCAGATCAGCCAAAAAAAACAAAAATCAAGGTCATGTTTATATATTGTACAATAAGTTGATAACACATTTTTGTGACAGGGATAACTTTTGCTTTTATTCAAAGTAAGTTTCAGTGAAATATGATACTCTTAGCAGTAATAGTAACATGTTTGATGGAAGCACTGTCCTAAACCAGATTCCTCTGATGTCACATGGAGACTAAGACGGCATCTGTGTACATGGCAACTTTTTTTTTATTACCACTATAAACATTGTCAATTGTATTTAGTGGTGGCTTATGTTGCTTGGTCTAGGTAGTAAATTAAAGTGTCTAATTTTGCTCACTCTATTTGCACATCTTTTTATTCACAGACAGAAATCTGCTACATTCCCACATAATGAAAAAATCTGTCATATGATCATATAGAGTCAGTCCTTCCTCTGCATCTGAGAGTAATTATTTTTAATATTCTTCATAACCAATTCTTATGAAGACTTTAAAACATGTTTCTCCACAAATGTATCCAATTCAACTGCTGCAAACCTTGCAACAGACTTTTCTTTTAGCTCTCAACGGCCCATGAGAGCAATCATCAAGACACTCCACAACACACACACACGGCTGATTCAGTGTCATCACTTAATCCCACTTGTTAGGCATTAGTCATTATACATAAGCAGCCTTCTAAAGATTCTGACCAGCGTGTGTGTTTGATTTAGTTCAGAATGCTTCTAATGCAAAATGATACGTTAAATGGGATTGTCCTGCTAAAAATTACCATAAGAGGCCATCTGCATAAGTAATAACTTCCTGCCAGTACAGTAAGTCAGTATAGTCTCTAACATAATGAACCACTTAACAATATTTTCCGTTTAAAAGTGCAAAAAAATACGATGCCTAGCTACCATATGGTTAGTACAGTGAATTATTCATTAAAAGCATTCTGGCATTCACATAAAGCTTGCCATTAGTTACATTCTGGCATTTTTAAAAGCTTGCCATTAGTTATATAATGAAGTGAAAAAGCTCAACAAAAATCACAAAAATGATTTTCAAAAACATGGCACACACAGTAGCCCTACATTGTCACATAAGTAACTACTACACAACAAAAGGTTTACAGGTAAAACAGTATAGAATAAGAATAAGAATATTGTGTCCCATGGTTTATCATGTGCCATGGAAGCTAAACAATGCTGCAATTACCTGCAGAAAAGGAGTGTGGGGCCTCTTGCGTTAAATGTAGATGTGATTGCTTGACTGTGGACGGAAATGCCTATTATGTACACTGGAATGCACATAACACTGTAGATTTAGGAATGCTAAATCCCTGCACAACTTCAGACATGAAATTTTCCAATTCTCATCTTGCAG